GTGGGAGGGATGGTGGCCCAGAAGCCCCTTCCTCTGGGCCAGGAGCAGTAGGACAGAAGGTGGCCCAAAAGCCCTTTCCTCTGGGCTGGGAGCAGCAGAAGGGATGGTGGCCGGGAAGCCCTTACCTCTGGGCTAGGAGCAGCGGGACTCAGTACTGTGGTCTTGTCATCCAGTGTCCTCTGTGTCTTTGTAGTGTGGAACCAGGTGGCTGTACAGAGAAGTGGGGTGGGGGGGTGGTGTCCAGTGGATTGTTGCTGGGGCGTGGGCTGATTCGGCATGTTCCCTATGACTTGTGACCTCGGTAGGGCGTGTGCAGACCTGCCTGTCTGCAGCAGGCTGATTAGGCGTGTTCCGCGGGACTCGACTATTGTAGTTTTATAGTAAGTCTTAAAATCAGGAAGTTTGAATCTGCTAATTGTTCTTTTTCAAGATTGCTTTTGATATTCTGAATCCCTTCAATTTTCTCATGAATTTAAGAATTAATTGTCAATTTCTGGGGTAGAGATGTAGTTCAGTGATACAGCACTTGCCTAGTATGCATGAGGCCCTGGGTTTGATTCCCAGCACCACAGAAAGAAAAAAGAGGCAATTTCTGCAGGAAAGAGCAGGTAGAATTTTTGTTTTTCTACAGAAGTAGGATACATGAAGTCTTGCTATATTGTTCATGCTGGCCTCACACTCTTGGTTCAAGTGATCCTCCTGTCTCAGCTTCCCAAGCTGCTGAGATTTCAGGGATGTGCTACCACTCCTCACTTTAGCAGAGATTTTGATAAGGATTGCATTGAATCTGTAGATCATTCTGAGGAGTATTACCATGTTAGTTACATGAAGTCTTCCAATCCATGAATACAAAATGTCTTTTCATTCATTTAGGTCTTTAAATTCTTTCATTGATGTGTTACAGTTTTCCAAATATACATCTTATACTTATTGTCAATTTATTTCTAAAATTTTATTTTTAGTATAATAATTTTCTTAATTTCACTTTTTACCATTGCTAGTATATAAGCATACAATTTACTTTTACATATTAATCTTGTATTTTGCAAACTTGATAAACTCACTTATTAACTTTAATGGACTGTTTGTGGGTTCCTTAGGGTTTTTCATATATATAGGATCATGTCACCTATGAGTTGACAGTTTTACTTTTTTCTTTCCAACTTAGGTGTCATATATTGCTTTTTCTTCCCTATTACTCTGGCTAGAATCTCCAGTTGAATGTTGAATAAAAATGGCAAAAACAGGCATTCTTGCCCAGTTTCTGATCTTAGGGACAAATCATTAAGTCTTTTGCCATTATATATAATATTAGCTTCGGGTTTTATATAGGTGGTCTTTGTCATTTTGATGATATTCCTTTCTACTCCTAATCTGTATCATGTTTTTATCAAGAAGGATACTGGAGTTTGTCCAGTGTTTTTTCTGCATCTATTAATGATCCTGTAGGTTTTTCTTTATTGTATTAATGTGATATACTGATTTATTTTTTATGTGTTCAGCCAATCTTGTGTTCCTAGGTTAAATCCTACTTGGTCACAGTATACTGTATAATTCTTTTTATATGATGTTGAATTTGGTTTGCTGGTATTTCATTGAGGAGTCTATGTTTGTATTGAAGATACAGGCCTTTAATTTTCTCTTTCTGTGATGTCTTTGTCTGGTTTTGTTATCAGAGTAATACTGACCTTATGAGATGGGAAGTGTTTCCATCTCCAAAGAGTTTATGAAGGATAAGTATTAATTCTTTAAACATTTGGTATAATTCACCAGTGAAGTTATCTGACCATGAGCTATTTGTTGTGAGAATTTTTTTGATCACTAACTCAATTCCTTTACTTTTTATAGGTCTTTAGTCAATTTTGGGAATTTGTGTCTTTCTAGGAATTTTTCCATTTCATGGAGGCTATCTAATTTGTTGGCTTACAATTATTCATAGTATTCTCTTGTAATCTTTTATTGTTTATTTAGGGTCAGTTTAATTTCCCTCTTTCTCTTCAATTTTTAGTTGTTGTAGCCTTTTCTTTTTGGTCAGTCTAGCTAAAACTTTGCAATTTTGGCAATCTTTTCAAAGACTGCATTATATTTTATTTTATTTGTTTATTAATAAATATAATCATTTTCAAGAAAAATATGATCAAGAAGCTTATGGCCATTATACACTAACTATATTATCAAGAATACAGATACTTCTCAACTGATGATGGGGTTACATCCTGATAAAGCTATAGTAAGTGGAAAATATTAAACTCAGAAATTCATTTAACACACCTAACTTACCAAATGTTACAGCTCACAGGAGCACACTGTAGAGCATTTTCTGTCATCCCCCCTGGGATCACATGGCTGTGGCTTTTGCCACTGCTCAGCATCACACTCAAGAGGAGCATACTGCATACTGTCAGCCAGGGAAAGATCCAAATTTAAAATTCAAAGTATGATTTCCATTAAATAGCTTTCACACCATTGTAAATTTGAAAAATAGTAAGTCACATCATTGTAAGTCAAGGACTGATACTAATATTAATTGAATAAGTTTAAAATTACTTTTCTCAAGACAAGTTTTGAGCAAAAGAATAAGCTTTTCAGTAGATGGATTTTTCTATAGTTTTAGGGAAGCTGAGGCATGCAGCAGTGAGACAGATAGATAATATCCTTTCCCACAGGGGCTTCAATCTTGGTGGTTAAACTTGCATTTGGCATGAGAGAGCACATGCACTGGCAGGGAGATACAGGGTTCCCAGGAATCCACAATGGTGTTGCAGAACTCAGTGAGCTATCACTCAGAGAACCACAGCCTACCTGTGCCAGCTTCACCACCACCCAGCCCTTTCTGTGTGCCTATTCCCAGGACCTGAAGCACTAAAAAGCCAGCCAGACTAATGAGCCCCTTGGGGCTCTACAGATGTGGAGGTGGCAGAAGTGGGCCTGAGACAGGATGGAAGAGGGTAAGGTTGGGAATCGGGCCTTTCTCAAAGAGCTGGTGGGCTGGGTATCTCCTTCCTTCTTCTCCCCTCTTGCCTGATACCCTCAAGCTTTAGAGGGCAGGACACGGGGGCAAAAAGGATTCTAAGAGCAATGCTCTGATAGATTAGCAGCCCTATCAATGGCCTTACTGCATCGAACATACAGGAGGCAGAAACACAGAGAGAAACTGAATTCCAGAGGTGGGTCAGATGTACCCTAAGTGGGATGGCCAAACCCTGTTGGTTCAGGGCCAGCTCACCTGATGCAATGGTGACACTTTTTTCCTTGTGCCCCACAGCATTTGAAAACAGGTCCCTGGGCTCCATCTGGCTCAGTGGGGAGAGGAGGAGTCCCCTACAGGTGCTCTATGACCTGGACCAGGTAGGTGGGCACACCTACCTCAGGGATGCCTCCCTGTTTCCCAGGCTAGGGAATCCAGAGCCCCAACTTGCACTTGTTGTCACATGGCTGAATTCCACAGAGGGGCATAAAGAAGCTTCACCATCCCCGGCTTTGTCCAGAGTGTGACAAAGACATATCCTGGGGGTAAATTGGGAACCCTAGAGTCTCTACTGACTTCATCCTTCCTCCCATAAGAGCCTGAGGCCACACTGTGGCAGAACTGTTCTGGATGTTGTAGACATAAATGAGAGTAAATAGCCAGGTGTGGTGTGCACACCTGTAACCCTAGCACTCTGGGAGATCACAAGTTCAAGCCCAGCATGGGCAACTTAGTGACTTAGCAAGACCCCATCTGAAAAATAAAAAGTGAAAAGAGCTGGGGATGTAGCTTCATGCAAAGAGCTTAGATTTAATCCCCTGTGCTAGGAAAAAAACAAACAAAACTAAAACAGACCTGAGCCTGCTCCAGATCAATAGGGAGACAGTAATTAAGCTAATCTCCAAATTTTCCTATATGCTACAATAAGGAAATGTGCACAGAATTCCCACCTTGTTATGTTATTCAAAAGCAGATGGACCAGGTAGCCCACTGGTCTGTGTATATAAGTCCTGCTGGGACTATATCATTACCCAACACACACACATAACTGTGCAGATGCTCCTTGATTTATGAAGGGGATATGTTCTGAGAAACATAAGTTGAAAATTTTGTAAGTCTAAAATGCAATGGATGCACCTAATCTCCTGCACATCCTAGCTTAACCACACAGCATTCTGTAGAGTATGGTTGTTTCCTCTCATGAACAGGGCTGACTGGGAGTGGCTCCGCCCAAGATTGGGCACATTGGGGTCAGCTGACAAGGAAGCAGAGGACCTGGCAGATAGGTAGATGGCTGACACTCCCTGCCACAAGAACATGGTAAGTTATCTGGAGGCTGAAAGCAGACCTTGACTGCAGGGCTCTGGAGTACAGCCTTCTTCTAGCACCATGTGGAGCCAGGTGCCTCAGGCCATTCCTGGGTAGAGTCCCTTATGTCCTTCATGGCCAAGGCCAAAGTTGCCATTCACCCCCATGGTGAGACTATGACAAAGTAATGTAGGGAATGTGATGGAGCAGTCAGCACTATGAAAAAGCACAGTGCAAAGCAGGTCTCTCCATCCCAGCCTTGGTTCTCCTCAGGGACAAGCAGATATTTTTGTGTCCTTCCAGACATTTTCTAGTCCTGTAAATAGTGCCAACTGCACTGGTATGGGTTTCATTAACTTTTTCAAAATCTCACCTACATATAAGTGTGTCCTGTGTCTGTCTGTCTCTCTCTGCTTTAACTTTTCATTGTGAAAAAAGCAAACATTTATACACTGACATAAGAAGACGAGCAAAGTCCCCACATTCTTATCACCTATTTCTACCTAGGGTTGTTTTGAACCAAAATACAGCCTTGTGGATTCTGTGATTATATCAGTAAGTACATCTCTCTAAAGGAAGAATCCCCATACCTAGCCTTGCTGAAACAGTTTCTATTTTCTTTGGTGCCCTTTTAAAATCTAAATATTAAGTCCAGTTCTGCACTTTGGAGTTTTTCCCCTTACTGTATCATGGATACTTTCAGATACTTTTACAAGCATCAGAAACAGGAATATACATACGGATGGGAGCATACATTACCCAATTCCTACTCCACTGATGGCAGATGGTCTCATGCCGGCACGAGCTCTGGGGCTCCACCACCAGGGCCACTGCTCTGGCTTTCTCTGAAGTGGAAATACTCCAAAGGCTTTGTTCTTAACTGATTAATACCTCACCATGAAATTCACTCTTAGGAAATGTCCAAATCAGTTATTTCTTTGTATTTTTACAAGGCTGTGCACCCATCACCATTATCTAATTCTAGAAAAGTTGCATCACCCAAAAGATACCCTTTACCAATTAGGAATCACCCCCTTTTCTCTTTCCCCCAGTCCTTGACAACAATTTATTTACTTTCCGTCTCTATAGATTCACCTACTCTGGTCGTTTCTTATAAGAGAAATCATTTAGCATTTTGCTGTTTGTGTTTGGCTTTTTTTCCCCACAAAATATTGCTTTTGAAATTCATCTATGTTGAAGGACATATCTATTCCTTTTTATGGATGGATAATATTCCACTGTAGGGCTATAAACTATACTATCCATCTATTCATCAGTTGGTGGACATGTGGGTTGTTTCCACTTTTTGAAGCTGCCAAACTACTCTTCTTAGAAGTTGTACCATTTTACAGTCCCACCAGCAATATATGAAGGTTCTACTTTCTCCATGTCCTGACCAATATTTGTCACTGTCCTTTTTGTTCTATCCTGAAGTCTTTTAATACAATTTTAAGAAATAAAACTCCTTTTTTTCAGTACTGGGGATTGAACCCAGGACCTTTGCTTTGAGCTATATCCCTAGTCCTTTTTCGATTTTTTTCCATTAAGTTTATTGGTACATTTTTGGTATACAATACAGTTACATTCATCGTTGGGATCTTGTACCTTTACATGATATATCTTGGTTCTTAATTTTTCCCCATTCCTTTGCCCTTCAACTCCTCCATCCCTCCGTATTTACAAAGACTTTGTTTCCATTTTTTCCTTTTCTCATATTTTTTCTTTTCTCTTCTTTCCTTTCCCCTATCCCTCCCACTTATCCTACTCCTTTAGACGTTTTCTTCTTATTTATAAAGATGTGGTTTTTTAAAAAATAAAGTGGAGTACTACTCAGCCATAAAGAATGAGAAACTAGAGACATTTATAGCTATGTGAATGCACATTGAGGCCATACTCTTAAGTGAAATAAATAGGACACACATGTGTAAACACCTATTTTTATTTTTATTTGAGGCAGTGTCTTGCTAAGTTGCCTAGGCTGGGCTGGAACTTGTGATCTTCTTTCCTCAGCCTCCCAGAATACTTGGATTACACGAATGCAGTTTCCCCCTCTATAAGGAATTAGTTACTATTCTTACACAGCGTCCTACTTTTAGTAAACAGTGCACAGTTTGTTCCAATAGTTACACTGAGCACACTGATGTCATAATATCTGGACTTATTCTGACATTTTCATAATTCATTCTTGTATTCTTCCTGGCATCCCGTGACACATCTAGCACACCTGATTAGTCACATCCTTCACCGTGCTTCTCTGCAAGCTTAGATTCTATTTCCAAATGCAAGTATAGGACAGATCCTTGGGCCCTAAACCACAGTGACTGGTGGCAGCTCTGGGTTCAAATCCAGATGTCCTGCCCAGCCCAGCGCCTGGCAGTGCCTGGGGTGTCACCTCTTCAGAGCAGCAGAGCTGGGGCCAGCAGCTCTGAGGGGAACCCCCGTCTCTTCCCTGTTGCCTGCAGAGTCTGAGCTCACCCCTGGCAGAGGTGCACCGGCAGCGGCGCGACCTCCTGCGCCAAACCTGCAGCCGCCTCACGCGTCGGCAGCACCTGCTACGGCCAGAGGACCTGCGGCATGTGCTGGTGGACGATGCGCACGGCCTGCTTTACTGCTACGTGCCCAAGGTAGCCTGCACCAACTGGAAGCGCGTTCTGCTAGCGCTGAGCGGCCGGGCCCGCAGCGATCCCCGCACCATCCCCGCGCGCCAGGCTCATGCGCCAGGCAGCCTGCCCTCGCTGGCAGACTTTACCCCAGCGGAAATCAACAAGCGTCTGCGCTCCTATTTGACCTTTCTATTTGTGCGCGAGCCTTTCGAGCGCCTGGCGTCTGCCTACCGAAACAAGTTCGCCAGGCCCTACAGCGAGGCCTTCCAGCGGCGCTATGGCACGCGCATAGTGCGGCGCCTGCGCCCCCGCGCAAACCCTGACGCCCTGGCACGCGGCCACGACGTACGCTTTGCAGAATTCCTGGGCTACCTGCTGGATCCGCGCACACGGCGCGACGAGCCCTTTAATGAGCACTGGGAACGAGCACATGCTCTCTGCCATCCATGCCGCTTGCGCTATGACGTCGTGGGCAAGTTCGAAACGCTGACAGAGGATGCTTCCTTCGTCCTGGACTTGGTGGGCGAGCCAGACCTGCGTTTTCCGATGCCGCCACGCCCCAAAGGGGCTGCTCCCAGAGACCAAGCTGCACGCCTCTTCCAGGACATCAGCCCCTTCTACCAGCGGCGCCTCTTTGACCTCTACAAGATGGACTTCCTGCTCTTCAATTACTCAACCCCCTCCTACCTGCGGCTGCGTTAGTGGTAGTGGCATCCCCTAGAGGATTGGAGATCTGGAGTGAAACCGGAGAATGTGCATTTTGGACAGGATATGGATAAGGATATGCTGATGCTCCTGTCAAAGAAACAGCTGTTTGAGAACCCGTGCACACACTGTAGGTGGTAGCCCACCTGGGCACAAGTCATACCTCCCAGGGTTTGGGTACAGACCCTCTCAAGTCACCACGCCTGCCTCTGCCTGTGACATGATGCTTGTTTCTTCTATTCAGGTGGTAGGCAATCCTTAGCTCTTCTGAATGGACAAAGATTTCGTAAACCGTTTTGGGGGACTGTGAAAGGCCAACATTTTGGGAGTCAAGTGTGCCCCTGAACCTGTCCATGATGAGCTAAGCAGAATGGTGATGTCTGGCTCAGTGTGTCCAAGGAGCCAATTTAGCCTCTCCAGTTCATCTATCCTTGCAAGAGCAGACTTGGCCAAGGAGAAAAGTCTTCCCTGCTCAGGTCCTTCCTTGGGTTTCAGTCTTGCAGGATGCCAGATCGTCCTGTGTGCCAGCATGGCCCAGTATGATGCTAAGGTTTTCAGGACCATAGTCAGCTGGGACAGTCATGTTTTACAAATAAATGTTTTTTGACTTTTTGACTCTGGAGTTTCTGCTTTATTATGCCATTTGCTCTGAGAGCATGGAGCTGATAAATCTTGGACAACTCACTGAATCTCTGGGTCTAAGTTTTCCCAGCTGCCAAATGGCATAAGAATGCTAGAGGAGTGTGATCATAAGACCTGGGTTACCTCCACAGCAGCCCATAATTGTGAGGGGCTAGGTATTTGGAGCCATGGGTAAGGTCTGTGCTGTGCTGTGTGTGTGTGTGTGTGTGTGTGTGTGTGTGTGTGGTTAAATGGCTCAGTGGTGTCAATTTACTGCCAACCTGGAGAAAATCTAAACTTTGACTCTATCTGGACCAAGGAAGTAAGACCAAAGTAGCTCAGCCAAGTCCTGTGCCTTGTGCTGCTTCCCACCCTTGTGTGAGTGTGTGTGTGTGAATGTGATTGTGTGTGGTGTGTGTGTGTGTGTGTGTGTGTGTGTGTTGGGCTACTTGGCAATGAAGATCATCTGTTCTTTTGGCTTCGGGAGAACAAGCAGCCATGGGAGTTCCTTGGGACAAACCAAATGTTCCCTTAGTAACTGTCTGAATACAGTAAGTCCCTGACTTATGAGCAAGTCCCATTCCAGGAGAATATTAGTAAATTGGATTAGTTGGTAGGTTGGACAAAGAGTCTTATATACCTTTGACACAAATATACAGTGTTATTGCTTTGCATTTCCTAGCAGTCCCCTCCACATCATTGCTTTTCCTTTTGCTTCAGGACATCCTGGGCTCTGATTGCACACTGTACTACTGTAAACTATCATATTGTATGGTAAGCACACAGCAGCACAACTGTGACAATGTAGACACATGTACTACTTAAGTAATTTGTTCACATTTATGAGGGTTTGTAATGCGAGGTCTGTTTGTATCTGTGGAAGTTGGCAACTCATGTTCATAAATTGGAGACTTACTGTATATGGTGTCCTTTTCCAGCTTCCTTCGGTTATCAATCAGAATGCCAGAAGTTTGGGAAATACAGGGCAAATTGTTCTTGTGCTTTTAAAAAACAGAAATCAGAAATAACTGAGGAAGCTTGACTGATGAAGCCAAACCCTGCCTGGGCACAGCAGCTCAGTCACATTGGAAAGGACTCCTGGCCCTTGCTTATGCCAGGGTCTTCTTTCTTGGGAACTTGCCTGGGACCTTCAGTATTCCCCTCTTTGAGCCGCTCCAGGGGTATATTCAGGGGCCCTGCAACAATGGATCAGGAGTAGTTGACCCATGAAACCACTGCTGCTGTCAGTGAAGATCTCCCCCAGCCTGGGGTCCCTGTGAAGGGACACAGAAAGCCCAGAGCCATGTACAATTACCAAAGATCCTTGGGGCACAGCCTTATGCTTTGAGCCAAGCTGAAGAGGGTGGATGTGACTGGAGCCTATCACATGCACAGGGCTGACTGTATTAGGAGCTCCTTGGCCCTCACATACCACATTGCAGGTCACACCTCACTGCAGTTCATTCTGTTGTTACACATCTGTTTCAATATCATGCATCTTTGTTCTCAGCTTTCTTGGCTCCCACACAGCCCCTGATGAGACCTGTTTGCTGAAGCTGATACCCAGCTATATTTATTACAATTAAATGTCTCCTTGCTGCTGCTCTGCCATCTTCCCCGTGGTGACATTTTTCACACACACACACACACACACACACACACACACCCTTCTGTGGGGTGGCTACTTGACTGTACCCTCATGAATGTCTCCCTCCACACAGGCATTGCAGACAATGATGTCATGCACTTGTGTGTACCTGCTACCACCCAGCCCTATACCCTCTGGTGTCCATGTAGGGGCCACACCCAGGCCTTCAAGGGCGGAAGGGAGCTTGGGCAGTTCTGGAAGCTTCTTTCTCCACATTCTCTTTGTGAATTCTGCCTACTTTGGCTGTCTTCTGTCATGTTTCCTCTCTCACTGTTGCCAGAATTTCTGTGTCCTCACAGATTGCAAGCTGACCATTGCCGTTGAACTGTGTGGTCCTCAACTGGGTCTGTGCATGATTTCAGAAAGACAGAGTCACCAATACACAAAACTGGACAAAGGAGAGTGTTCAAATGGCTTTTAATTTGGCATCCCTTTCAGACTATTGACTGTCTATTAAAAGCATATTTCAACTCCCAAAGGGATGACCAGCATGAACTGAAAAGCACATGACCTTTTAAATTACTTAAAATAGTTTTTTATTTCCTAGTTTTTCAATCTCTAAAAACTGGATACTTTTGGACAGCACCTTGCTCAGTTTGGAAGTGATGTTGGGAAACGGGGTTACAGAAACTTTTGTAAAATAAATTTAAACGTTCTTTTGCTTTTCCTGATTTTCATTGTCAGGAAAATGTTTCTTTTTACCCCCAGTTAGAATGTGAGGTGATTTTTGTTTTCAGTCTGTTTTGTGCCTTTGTCATGCAGGCAGCTTCCTAGGAGGTATATCTCAAGGTTTAAAATTTGCTTAAAGTAAATTCTCAGTGCCTTTCTAACAGCAGTATATCATGCATTATTCAGTTTGTGAATCTCAGCTGACCACATCTTGGGGGCCTTAGCAACTGCTCAGGGTGAAGGCAAAGCAGGTGCTGACTCAGAGTGCTGACTTTTCCAATGATGCTGTAAGGTTTTTGTTTGTTTGTTTTGTTGCATTTTAGCCAGAGGAGCAGGGTTGGTGGAAGATTTGCTCCATGGGTCAACCGGGAAGCCAGACTCCTTCTCTTTTGTTGCTCTTCCATCTCCTCTTCCATGTGGTCTGTGAGAGGGAGCCATTCACTTTTCAGGCATCAGAATATTGAAGGAAAACTATACAAGTGATTGTACTATCCATTTCCCATCCAATCCCACTGGCCAGAACCTAACCATACTGCCATGCCTATCAGCAATGGAGGCTGGGAACAGTAGTCCTACCCCTAATCCATATCCCTTTACATTTCAATTCTCAGAAGAGTACCTTCTTGATCTCTCAAGCACCTGCCACTCTCCTAAGGGCTGCTGCTGACCACCAGGCCTCTGAGTCTGAACATGAGCAAGTCAAGTTAGTGCTACCAGGAGACATGCCTCCTCATGTTGGATGGAAGATGAGGGATCCACATCACCCTGACATATTAATGTGCTTCTTCATTTCTGAGTGCTCATACATGTTGCACTGTATATGGGAAAATGAGGCTCCAGATTGCCTCACCTAGATGCAGGGCAAACATACCCATGTTGCTGTCTGGGATGCTGCATGATCATGTTCAATATTTATGGAATAATTTTTCATAGAAAATATTGTTAAATCATTCCTCTTTTGTCAAATATTTATTTAGGTCACAATTAGTGACGTGGACGTTATTGGCCCCTGTGGCTCATATTTCACCATGAAGCTTCTGGTCCAGAGAGTAGATGGTGATTCTAGTGCAAGTGGTTTACTGAGGGAAGACTCTCAGAAGAAGCAGGTGCAGTGACAGTGTGGAGTAGAAGGAGGCTGATCAAGGGTGGGTCTCTGCTGGAGTCTGGCTTTAGCCAAAAGTTGGGAGAATAAAGGGAATGGGACCAGGAGTAGGTATAATAGATGACCAGCAAAGGGAATAACTCAAGTGAGCATTGGTGGTACCTCAGAATGAGGTGGTGATGGAGAATGGAGGGAAAGTGGTGAGTTTGAGAGACTCCATTCCATAATAGTTCCTTCAGACACTTGCTCTGGAAGCTCAAATTTTGTTTCAGTGACTATATTCCTGATGCTTAATATTCTACATTTTCCACAATATCACTGTTGTTCATTAATTTTTAGTGTTGAATAGAGTCCAAGATATGGATGAACCAGTATGCCTAAACTTTCACCTGCAGAAAGACATTTTGGTTGTTTCCACATTGGAGCTATAAATAAAGCTGATATAAATGTCTGTGTACACAAAGGAATGAATACAAACCTTCAGTTCTCTGAGATGAAGTGTATCCATGGGTTTTCTCTTCTGTCATCAAAATTTATGTTTCTCATAATTATGTTTTCGTTCTCTGAATGTTATTTTGAATAGTATATTTTATGTGCAGTTCATAATTGTAATAATCTCTGAACATATCTGAATAGTACCTGTATCTATTGAGTCTGATAATTTTTGATTATCTATTCATATTAAATCATAGTGTTATGGTTTGTGTGTAGCTGTCCACCCAAAGCCTCATGTAGTCATAGGCTTTTTCAGAGATGGTTGAATCTAAAGTGTGTTATCCTGGAAATAAGTGTGTATGAGTACTAAATCAGTCCACTATTTGGTTTGGCACTGTCCTAATACTGGAAGTCTGATAAGATAAAAGGGGCAGAAAAATGCTATTAAGTCTTTTGTTGCTTTTGCTACCATGTGAGCACCATGAACTGTTTCTCTTCTGTGATGCCTGTCTACCATGTGCCACTCTACCTTGGAGCCAGGCAATTAAAGCTTTATAAAATGTAAGTTAAATAAATTCTTTCCACTTTAACTTTGGGTGTTGCGTATTTTGTCTCAGGAATGAGAGAAAAGTAACTAAGACATTTAGTGATTAAAAGGTTGTGTGAATTTTGGGGAGATAGAACTCTTCTTTATATCGATACTATAGTAGTTTTATAGCTCTAGTTTCTGAACTCAAAATATACAAAAACTGCAGAATTTTGCTCTAAGTAAATTATAGCTCATTTTTCAGAAATTTTAAAGCAAAGAATGGTAAGGAGCAGAGCACCCCCCAGCACCGAGGAGGAGCCTTCTGGGCCACCATACCACCACCCTGAGTGCCAAGGAGCAGAACTCCCCCAGCACTGAGGAGGTGAGCCAAGGGGAACCAGCAGCACCCCCCCATACCCCCCATTGAAATGAAAAGACACATAAACAAGTCTCAAAAACAGACTTCCAGATCACCTACAGTAACCCCAAAGGAAAATGAGATGGAACACTCTGATACTCAACCACCTGGACTCCCTGAACTGGTAACAAAAGAGGATCTGGAAAAAATGAAATCAGAAATAATTTCTCAGATAACAGCAGAGATTGTGCCCATAGT